GATTTTTCTTTGTTGGAGACCTGAAATGGCATCTTTATTTCAGAGAGAAAGTCCAGGCAGACTCTCATTCAGGCTACTGGACCCATATGTGAACCAAATTAGAATCATTTCGACCTCAAATCTCAGTTTCTGCCATTCTATGAAAAATGTCTTTCTCTTCCTCCGACTACATTTATATAAAACTCTGAAATGGGAGAACAGAGTCCTACATTTATAGATGCAATCAGTTTCCTTTGCTGCACTTACTAAATTCAATTATGGTTGACTGTGGGGTTAAGACGTCACGAACACAGTGTTACTTACTCTTCTATTTCTTTTCTTTGGTTCTCTAGTCTCATATGGCGATTCTGAATTCCTAAAAATGTGAACCCATACCTGTCAAAAACAAACAAAACGACCTTTGTATGTTTCCAAAGAATGATTAATTTCCCTCGCACTGGGGTTACTTGTACTTGTTTGATTTCTTTTTCATGTGATCTCAATCTACAACTGTACTTTCCCCCTTTACTGTCTGAGATAATAACACAGAGCAAGTCAATGCCCAGTCACAAATGTAACCAAGGAAGATACAATATGTAATTCCAATTCTGTTGCTAACATACTAGGTGGCCTTTTAGTCACTTAATAATCTTGGGCCTCATGGGTAAAAAGGGACTATCAGTTACCAAATGATGTCAAAATTGCAGGGAGCAGTTCTGAAATAACATGTTGTACAAAAAGTGGCCACTGTTATGATTTGTAAAATATAACATGAACATTTAGACTTCTGACTGGTATGCATACGTAGTAATGTAAGTTACATCTATGCATTGCTATTTTCTTTTTGATCTTAATTGGTTAGGGGTTGAGAATTTTTCACAAACTTTCAGATAAAGGTGCCTGGCTTTTTATTAAAGGATAAAGATATTTACAAGATAAGGTTATTGAAGCAAACAGAGAAAAACAATAACTCCTATCCTATGATTTCACTTTCTCAGAACAAGAAGTGCTTGATGTTTTTTCACTCTTCAAAAATGCTGGGCC